ATCCCGTCCAGGAAGGGGAATTAGAGGGCGTCCGCGTCCGCGACTCCGAAGAACTCCCCGAGGGCGCGGGTGAGAAACGCCATGGCGAGCCCCTTGGGTCCAAAGGTGGAGGGGGGGGGGGGGGGGCGGATGACACTGTGGGCGCGTGTGGCTGCGCAGGCGGTGCTAGGAGGGGTTCAGTCTCCGGTACGTGACCGGGCAGTGTCTCCGGGCAGTGTCTCCGCTGTCTCTCGCCTTTCCACATAGGACGGAGGCGGTGCAAACCTCGGCTGGTTCTAGGCTGTCTCTCGCATCGCGGCTGTCTCTCGCCTTGCCGCAGAGGACGCAGGCGGTGCAAACCTCGGCTGGTTCTAGGCTGTCTCTCGCATCGCGGCTGTCTCTCGCCTTGCCGCAGAGGACGCCGGTGGCGCAGAGAGGCTCCGACGCCAGGGGCTTGAGCGAGGTGCGGAGGGAGAGGCCGAGCGTGACCAGGGCCGTCGCGGCGAAGGCCTGCTGGAAGGGCTCGAACACCCCCCCCACCAGCTCCGGCAGCGCTGCGTGCCCGCCCGCCTGCAGCGCCGCTCGGACCGCGGAGCCAACCACGACCGAGAAGACTAGCGGAGAGCGCAGCACCTTGCTGCACACGCGGGCGAGCTGGCGGCGCGAGCCGGTCGCACCGCCACCGCCGCCGCTCGGCAGAAGCCGCGCCTCGGCCGCCTCAACGCCCGCCTCGGCGCCCGCCTCCAGAAGCGCGAAACCGAGCGGGTTGAGCAGCGCCAGCTGGACCGGCGCTGCGAGGTAGATTGTAGAGTCGAAGCGCCCGCCCCAAATTGCGGCGCACAGAGGCAGCCCGAGCGCGAAGTCGTTGCTCTGCGTCGTCGCGATCGCGTACAGGCCCGCCCGCCCGAGCCAGGTTGCCTTGCGCTCTGCGAAGGGCACACTGTCGCTCGTGCGGCGGCAGAGCGCAGAGAGGCAGAGTCCGGCAGTGATGGCAAATACGAGGCCCTTGGCGGCGGAGATGGCCGCAACGAGCCGCCACGCCTCGCTGTCAATCTCGAGCTCGGCCATGGCAAGAAAGAGCAAGCCGGGCATCGCGAGCCTCCCCACAAACGCCGAGATGCCTGCCGCCTCAGACGGAGAGAAGAGGGCGAGGCGGCGGCTGAGACAGCCGATGAGGATGATGGTCACACACTGGGTGAGGGCCTTGAAGAGCTTGAGCAGCATAGCGAGTTAGCCAGAGACGCCTGAGCAAATGTTGGCGTTCGCGGACATTTCTTGAAAAAAGAGAAAAAACCTCGCTCGCACGAGTGTCGTTCGATTCGGGCGCCTTGGGCGTCGGGGTGGCGAGCAGGGGACGCGGCTCTGAGTGCCCAGCGACGCGTGCCGGATGGAGTCCGGCCGCGGGCGACTAGGGAGTTCGCTCAGGATGTGTGGCAGCCGCACGTTGGCTGAGTGTCTTGTCTTGTGGTTCTGTGTGTCGCTCCTGTGTGACCGTCATCGCCCGTCTAGCGTCCACCCATACCGCGTTGGTGTCCCAGTCGTTGGTCGGACTGTGTTTCGCCTTCCCATCAATCAATCAACGAGTGTGTGTGTGTGTGTCTTGTCTTGTGGTTCTGTGTGTCGCTCCTGTGTGACCGTCATCGCCCGTCCTGCGTCCACCCATACCGCGTTGGTGTCCCAGTCGTTGGTCGGACTGTGTTTCGCCTTCCCATCAATCAATCAATGTGTGTGACTCACTCACTCTCGCACGACACTGGGCACGGGATTGGCGCGCACTGGCACTAACACAGGCTTCGAAAAAGAAAGAATTCAGGTCCTACATCTCACGGGTCTCCGAGGGTTGGCCCCGCGTACCGCTACCGGGTTTCCCCTTAACTGCAGGACGCCCCCTCTGCTCGGACGGGCCCACAGACATCCCGCACACCCGCCGCACACCCGCCGCCCCCGCGCGCGCCCCACCCCGGCCGGCGGCTCTACCACCGCCGCCGTCGCCGAGCGCTCCGGCCTCGTTCGAGACCTTCTACTCGTGCCCGATCGGCTCCTCGTACAGCAGGTCGGACTTCGAGTCAGCGGTGAGCTACGGCACCAAGAACAGCGACGACTGCTGGTTCGAGCGCATCCCGTCGGACGGGCCGACGAGCAGCGAGCTGGCCATCCGCGCGACGGTGTCGGGCGGGTCGTGCGGCAGCAGCCCGACGACCATCCAGTTCAGGGGTGCCACCGACGCCGCCAAGACCAGCCTGTACAACTACTTTGTGAGCGGGACCCAGTCTGGCTACGTAACAATCGACTCGACGTTGGTCTCTGGCTCCGTCGCGATGAGCGGGCTGCCGGCCAGCTTCTGGACTGGTCAGCCGGAGGATCGCAACCACGGCTGGATCCTGGGAACAACTCCTGGATACAAGTTCGCATCCGGCTACAGTTACAACGGCGCTTATAACTTCTGCAACGGCGCGGCGCTGCAGGGCTCAAACGAGGAGATTGTCGAGCTGTCGTACATTGCGGTGCCTCCGCCCGCCCCGCCGAGCTGCTGGTTCTACCGGCTGCCTCAGACCACCGTCGACTACCCCCGCATTCGTGCGACGGTGTCGGGGGGCGTGTGCGGCTCGGAGACAAACACGATCGAGTTCCGAGACGCGTCGACCACGTCCACGGCGGTGCGCGACTACTTTGTCGACGGGACCTTTGAACTGCGGCTGGAAAAACGGACAAAACTGCAGAGACTATAATGGGGTGCCTATGTGCGAATACAAGGTGTATTGGGACGGCTGTGGGAAAAAAGAGTGCCACGGCGACGAGATCGTGTACGGCGACCGGGATCAAAAGTGGTGTGATCTCTACATCGACAACGTGGTGGCGATTGCTGGCCACCGCGGTGGAATTTACTTCGGCCAATCGTGTGGGTGAGCGACACGACAGGAACAATCGATTCTTGTCATGCGGAGGCTGCCGCAGCACCGACGCTTGCTTTGACCAGTGCAGTGGAGGAGACTGCGTCGGGGTTGAGTACAACCCCAGAACTAGGGATTGCTGCCCGACGAGGGCTGTTTGGGGACACTGGGCTTCGTTAGAACTCACCTTAACTTAGCTTCTTTCCTATGCCCAGTGTCGTGCGAGGGAGTTTTGTTGTAAAATTCTTTCCTACACCAGGCGCAGCGGCGCTTCACGACCGAAATAGTTGAATAGACACCACAGAAATACGCACACCGGCGCCCGAAGTGCCAAACAGTGTTGAGTACTGTTGGCCGCAACCCCCGCCACCCATAGCGAGCCCATCCCACGCATTCCCACGCGTTGCCCTCAACGCGGGGCCGGGAGCGGACAGGAAAAAATAAAAACTACATCATCGAACGGAAAGGTGGGCGCTCACGAGCAAGGGGCGTCACGTTGAGTCGTCTCAGTCTCACGTGAATTCGTCCCTGTCTCACTCTCAGCGTCTCAGCGGTGTCTCAACAGATCCATCACTCCGTCTCACTTCCGTCTCACTTCCGTCTCTCCTTCCTGCCGTCTCAGCGGTGTCTCAACAGATCCATCACTCCGTCTCACTTCCGTCTCACGCAGTCTCTTCCTGCCTTCTCGTCCGTCTCAAGCGCGACAGGCTCCCGAGAGTGCCCGAGAGCGCCCGAGAGCGCCCGAGAGTGCCCGAGAGTGCCCAGATTGCCCGAGAGTACCCGTGCAACGTCGTGATGTGGGGGGCAGTGGGAGGCGCCCGAGAATGCCCGAGATTGCCCGAGGTTGCGTGCTTGGGCTCCTGCCACTGCCCCGAGGTGACCACTGCACATCAGACCACATCACGAGGGCGATCTCGGGTACTCTCGGGCGCCTGCCACACTGCCCCGACCACCTCATGAGGTTGCACGGGTTATCTTGGGCAATCTCGGCACTCTCGGGAGCCTGCCGCGCTGAGACGGACGAGAAGGCAGTCAGAGACGGAAGTGAGACGGAAGTGAGACGGAGTGATGGATCTATTGAGACACCGCTGAGACGCTGAGAGTGAGACAGGGACGAATTCACGTGAGACTGAGACGACTCACCAAAATTTCCCACGAGCAGGTCTCACCGCGCTGGTGCCGCCGCGACCCGCTCCTTGCGCGTGCGGTCGATGGCGGCACGTGATCCCGACTGGCTCGGGTCTCGCAAGGTGGGCACCAAGGCCACGGACCCGACGGTGGAGGTCGAGGGCACGAGCTACGAGTTCGCGGTGGAGGTGGGCGTGGACGACGACCTGCCCAACGGAGCTTATGCAATCCCAAACTTCACGCCTCCGCATGCGATCCATTTCGGCACGCAAAAGGTTTTCATACCAGCCTCCGGCGCCACGTACAACGACGTGGTGAGGCCCATGATGAGCAAGCTGCGTGAAAAGATCGACGCGTGGTTCCAAACGCTCGTGGGCCAGGTCGATGCTTCCAACAACGCCAACGCGTTTTCCATTAAAGCTTCCCGCTACGCCACCGAGAACGGGGGCGGCGGGAAACAGCTCGCGTATAAGATCGAGATATACCTGGTGAAGCTGGAGTTCAAGGGCGGGGCTGTATCTGCCGACGGTGCCGTACGCGCGGGGGCACACTCGGCGACGATTCAGACTCACGTGCGTGCCTCTGACTCACCCCAGCCCAACCCCGGCCCCGACCCTACACGGCCGGAACCCTCGCCCTCGCAGGTCACGAAGCATTGCCCAGGCTTCGCAGGCCATGGCGATACCCTGTCCATACCGTCAAAGAGTGAGCAACCCGCTTGTTGCATCTTGCTGTAAGGGGCGGCATCGAGGAATCTAAGAGGGGCGACACCGGCAATGTCTGCCGCTGCCCGGCGGCAATGTCGCGAATCAGAAGTGCTTGTTGATAACGAGGCAGGTGCTTCTGGCGATCGCAAGTGGACGTGCTTCAGCCCGCGGTGCATGCCTACAGTGGGCGGCCTCAAGTTTATGAAGTTTGCTTGTGGGCGGGTGCGTTTCTGCTCTGTCGATTGCCAACGGGCGGACTGGTCCGTTCACAACTGACCTGCACAGCACGCAAACCCAAGAAATGAGCCGAGCCCGCCGGAGCCGAGCTGGGGCACGGGACGCGTCGCGGGAGGCGGCGTTTGCCCTGAACGAACGCGTGAACCGTAATGTCGTGGTTATGCGCGCGCCCGCAGGTGGGTAGGGTAGGACAGGTGCCCAATAGTCCATAGAGAGAAGTCAAAATTCTCCTCAGACAGGCTTCCCGGGCCGTGAATTGCATACTTCATAACGCAGGCGCGCTCAAAAGGAATAAATCATTGCCCGACCAAATTGGCCTTTTGCCTCAAGCGGCGATGCCCCCCACCCCCCCCACCCACAGCCTACGCGTGGCGCCGCCAGATGCGGCAGCCGGTGTACCGCCTCGCCTTGGAGAGCGCCTTGGCCTCGGCGGCGCTGCTGGCCTCGTCCGCCGCGGCGCTGCCGCTAGCGATGCCCCGCTGCAACTCCTCCACCTTCCAGCAACATGGGCAGCCGCTGGCCTCGAGGTGGACGGGCTGGCCGGGCGTTGGCCCCGGCACGAGGCAGAGGAGCGTGGTGGAGGCGAGAGCGGAGGAGACAAGGACGGCGGAGAGACGGGAGGAGGAACCGGCCGGCGAGGTGCCGGCGGCGAGGGCGGCGCACGTCGTCAGCTGCGAGCTGGGTGCTCCCGCGGCGGTGGCGGCGGCGGCGGCGGTGTCGGCGGCGGCGGCGGTGTCGGCGGCGGCGGCGGCGGCGCGGGGCGGAGGTTCCCGCCACCAGTGCAGCGCCTGCAGGATGCTCTTGCGCGTCTGTGCGTGCGTGAACTGCATATGGAGCACGTCCTGGGCCAGTACGGCACGGCCCAGGTCGGTCGAGGAGGCGTCGTTGCACCGCATCGGCTTCGCCCGCGTCAGCCAGCCCGGGGCGACGGCCAACCGCGCGCCGTACATCCGCCCCACGTCCGCGCGAGGAAGCGCCGCCAGCGTGGGCGCTGCCGCGGAGCCGCCCGTGAG